AGTTGGCATTGATTTTGCTTTTTAAAACTGATGGCAAATTGCAATGAAAATAATTAGTGTATGAAATACTTGGTATTACAATGCGCTCAATGCTATAGTGTTTATAATAAAGAGTTTCCCAATTTGTCGACAACAAGTAAATTAAAGAAATACATGAATCATACAAATGTATTCAAATAGTGTTGTATTAAACATAATATAATGAGAAGTAATAATGTATACAATTTTAATATTCTGTGTATTCTTTGCATTCAATTCATTGATGCATATCTATTCTGACATCTATTGGCTATTTCAGTACATTAAAGCAACCAATATCAAATAGACTCAAATTAGAAAAGTATTATAAGAAATACATTTGATTTATGCAATAAGTCAATGGATTTGCAGTCATTTACGTGGTTATAAATGTTGAAGAATTGCATCTAATTATAAATTTATAATTTTTCACCTCCAAAATTGATTATAACATTAAATGTGTTGATTCCATAAGAAAGTTGTCAAATTTTACGTTTTGACAACTTTTCAAAGAATATTTAGAATTTCCATAAAAGTATTTTATGAAATAATCTTGGTCACTTTTCATGAATTGAATGGGCGCAGTGTATACCGTGTTTTCTACGGTTTTAGATTGTCACTACACTTTAAGGCAAATATGTAAAGTATGTTACAATAATAATATAAATATATATTTAATATAGATTTATTGATATATAAATATTTCATGATATTATGAAATAAATTTAGTTTTAAGAAATATATCAATACATATGTAAATCGTTTTATAACATTATAAAATGTTATTTAAATTATACAAAACAATGTACAGTATATGATATAATAACATGACTTATTGCGTGAAAAACTTCAATAAAATTTGTATTTTTTATTGTTACTAAATGTGATTGATTTAAATATTACTACAAAAATATTAATTACACAAAATAAAGATTTTTTAAATCAATAATTCAATGCAAATTTGATTAACAATTTGTTGTCGACATGAAATGCCAGTACTTTAAATGCCATTTATTGTGTTGAACTTTTAATTATAACTTTTTTATTAAAAATATTTAATAATAAATTAAACTAAAATAATTTTTCTGACAAAAAATGTTATTAAAATGTCAATACATGTTTAAAATATGTGCATTAATTTTCAATTTGTTTGTCATAATCAATTCCGAAATTAATAAAATTAATAATAACATTCCCATCGATGAAAGTATGCCATGTTTTAACTGTTTTATTTTTCTTTCGTTTTGTTTAAAAAATGTTTAATAACAGTAAAGCATTATTTTGACAAATTTTGAAAATAGTTAGTTTTGAATTATTTTATTTATTAATTAATTGTCTTTTAGGCCAAACACTTGTCGTATATGTTGTGTTATATGCGGATGACATCAATACAATCGATGATAAAGATATGGTTTGTTCAGTTGAATTGCATTTACAAATATTCAATCAAATATATTAATAGGATTTTCGTCTCGACTTTTATCTGAGACACGAGTGGAATGTTTCGAAACACTTTTGTCGTCCGTATCTCAAGAAATTAAATGAAGGAAACATTTTCTTGAATACAACTGAAAGTATAAAATAATATATTTTATAATACATTAGTTTAAAATTGACTTGACTTTAGAGACGGCCATTATATTGAAAAATGACTTTAAATACTTTTGGGTTCCGGACGTAAATATTATACATTTAATACACGTTATATTATATGCAATATATTCTACAATTAGTTTATTTAAACGACAGACTGTTATGACAAACGCAAAGACAGAGGAAAATATTGGAGAAAATAAAGTGTTGAAAATCAAGAATTATGAAACTTA